GAGAAGTGAGTGGTGAGCTAGGCCCACCAGGGGCTGAGCAGGGACAGGCGGGACCAGGAAGAACGACTCCTGTTTCCCCTTTGAGTCTGGAGGAATCGAGACGGGTAGATACAGGGGGTCATAATTGGGCAGGGATTCGAAATCCAGGAGCGGTGCACTTGAAGGCTGCCAGGTGGGTTCTCCAGAAGCTGAGTCTGAGACAGAGCACAGGGTACAGGTGTGCACTGGGATTGCACCTGGGAAGGGAGAGGGAGGCTGGGGACTGGGCAGACTAAGGAGTCACACTGCCCTTGGACCTGACAGAGCCTCAGCCACCTACAAGGCCCAGGGGCAAACACTGCCCCTGGTGGCTGGTGTCGGGACAAACGAGCTTGGCAGTCCCCTCCCTGTCCCGGGCAGCAGAGTGGGGCCATAAGATGTCATGACCTCAGATGGGGCAAGTGTCTGCAGCTCAGGGCACAGCTCTGTCGCTACGGTCCCTCCTTGAGGGGAGCTGAGCCCCTGTCTCTACTGTCTGCACGTTCACGAGAGCTTTTACACCTGTGTCAGATGAGGTCGCATTTTGAGGATGAAGTGTTAGAGGTTAATTAAGAAGGATGGCGATGGTTTGGAGAGTCCCCAAGGGAGACGAGAGGGATGCTGGCCAAAGGAGAGTGAAGGGCAAGCCTCCCCCAGGTCCTGATTGAGAGCAGACCCCAAATCTGCAGCAGCAGCACACTCAGCAAGGACGCGGCATCGAGTCAATGTCAGGACGTCTCTTAGACCTCCTAGCCCCCGCTGCTACACGAGCTGTGATTGGCAAGACTGGACCTGGAGAAGGAAAAGCAGGTGCAGTGAGGGGGGGGGGGGGTTGCCTGGAGAGGTGAGAGGTCAAAAGAGGCCACTTAACCAATAAGCAAAGCACCTGCAGGGCTGGAGCTCAGAGCTGAGGCCTCTGGGAAGGGAAAGGGCACGGTGGCGCGGGAGACCCTAACAGGTGCCACAGTCACCCAGCTGGGTGGTCAGTGAGTGCATGGCAGGTGACTCATCCATGGAACACCTGCTGTTGAACAATTGCCACAGCCAGGCACTGTTCCAGGAGTGGCCGATACAGCAGTGACAAGGCAGTGGCCATCCCTGCCCTTGTCATTTTTGCATTTCAGCAGTGGGTGACAGAAAATACATGAGGTATAGGGTACGTTAGAAGCTGATTTTGCTATGGAGAAAATACAGCGGCGATGAGGGTGCTGGCGGTGGTGAAAACAGACTGCAGTTTCACACAGGGTGGTCCCAAACAGCCCCACTGAGAAGGTGACATTTGAGAAAGGACTTTAGCCTCCATGCAGATGTCGGGACCAAAAGCTCTCTGGAGAGAGGGAGAAGCAAGGGCCAAGGCCTGAGACAGCCTCCTGCTGGGTGGTCAGGAGCACAGGGCAGGCGACCATGGCCTAAGGGCTCAGAGACTGTGCAGCACCAGCCTGCGGGCCACGTGGGAGGATGGCATGAGTCCCACATGCACATCGTAATGGGACCCTTCGATCTGCTATCTCGAGAGATATCCATCCGGGGCCTGAAAACAGAAGATGCTGGCCACGGTGAGGATTTGACCGGTCCAAGTAGACAGCTGAGGCTTCAGAAGATGACCCATGGCCATGTGCGTGTGGAGGCCCTGTGTGAGGAATCTGGAAAAAGCAGGAGTACCCCACCACCATTAGCAGCACGCCATGGGGTCTTTCTTTGCCAGGCTCTTTCTTCCTCCTGCACCTCCACCCCTCCTCCTTACACCACTGAATCCTGCCTGTGTATCTTGTGTTTCCAGTTCTGTGACTTTCCAACTCACCTTCACACTAAGTTTGAGTCTGACCGTTTCCCACACCGGTGTTCCTGTGGTGACCACCATTACAGATGCCCCTTCGTGGTCTCTCAAGTATCTTGACTCCTCCCAAGTCTTCCCTTCTAACTAATGCTGGGTCTGTCCTTGTTTATTGTATTTTATTCCACCTACCAGGTGTTCCGGGTAATTATCTAGTCTTCTGTGAAAGATGTTTATATTGGAACACTCATTGACATCAATCCTTGTAGTTACATCTTAGGAGAATGTTAGAATACAAATCTTGAAGACAGGCTAATTTTAAATTCTGTTTCTTATTTTACCTGGCATTAAAATAAGTCAAATCAGTTTTTCTCAAATTGGAGGGATGTAAAGGATGACTTTAGAAAAAAAAAAAAAAAAAA